GAGGATTCATCCTGTTTTGGTGTTGTTGTGATGTGGCTGTCGCTGGTTGTTGTTTGTGTCCATGTTTGTTAGTTTTATCAAGATACCAAACGCAAGTGGCGTTATTGTTTGCGGAACATGTAATGTGTGAATTTTCATGAATATTGTTACATAAATGCCTGTCACATACAATAGCCCGCACTCCATCGACATCTCACATACTTTACGTGAATCCCTCTAAGTGTATGTGTGTGGGTGGGTGAGTGTGTGTGTGTCTGGCTCTCTTTTGAGTTTCAAAACTGCACCATAATAGTGTATATTTTTTAATGAAATTCTCGACATTCTCTTTTTCCAACACAATTTACCTTGGTCTTGTATCCTTTTAAAGTCATTGAGCCAGTGTGAAGCTAGTCAAATAGACTAACATATCTCTTCTTCGGTTTTTGGTGTCGAGTATTATATCAAAACATTTGACAAGAAAAAGTAAAGGCAAATATTTTGAGTTGAGTTCCATGGGATGTTTTTCGATTTGAATGAAGCATGTGTGTGTGTACGGGCACAAGTTAGATGGTATGTATGAATGGATATATTCCAAAAATCGTTCGCTACTTGAAATGCTTTTGGGGAATTAATTCATCTATTTCGATGCAGAGAGATGCAGAGATACAGCAATATAGCTGAAGCAGACATGAAATGTCGACAGTACATAGAAGAAAAGCCTGAGATGAAGCCACATACATACGAACACTTTGCGATCATTCAAAAGATTTTAAAAATAATCAGAAAGTGAGTAAAACAGGGATGAATATGCAGTCAGAGGAAAAGCTTTCGAAAAGGCATTGCAACATGCCACACACCATTTAAATTGTAATCGTCCGTTGTTCGCTCACTTTCTCCTTCTCATCGTACAAAATTCGAAAGCTGCATTTGTTTGAACAAAAAATCTTTTTTTAATAGTCATGGTACAAGTAAAATGGATTCTATTTATAACAAAATCAACAATAACAAACGAACAAATTTATGCGAATGATGAGAATGCAAAGGAAGGACGGGATTCAAAATATTTGATTTTCAAATTTCTACCGACCGAATTTCGCACGGTATGCATAAGTTTCGGTTGGAATGAGAGATAAATTACATTTTATGCACACTCTACTATGAAGAGGCAATCTTTGGTTAAATCAAATGAAGAACCAGCATTATGCTGTTAAAGCACTCGATATATCTTTTGGATACGACTGCATCCCTAGCGGGGATAGCAGTATGGGGGTAGAGACAGTGACTGCTGCTGTTGTTGCTGATAGTTTTTAAAGATTACATCACAAAATGACTGCGTGTGTGTGTGTGTGTGTTGCAGCTGGGGAACAAAAAATGCGAAATATACTCAACTGTTAACACTTCATGGGTACAAAGTGAGAGGTGGCAAAGTCAAGTTAAAACCTTATAGTTTAATGTATGCAAAATAAACGTAATAGTGTCACATACATACGGGGCCGAATGAATCGTGAGTTCGCCTTGACTTTACACTTTTCTAGTTTTCTCAAGTGAATTGCCACCGTACTTTTCGTCCGTTTTGTTTGCATAAAACTACTACAAAATGCGACTCAATTTCATTTTGGCTTTGTTACTACGTTGCTGCTGATGTTTGCTCTACTCTTTAGATTGCTATCTCTAGTGAATCATGAGAATGTTGGTTTTTTTTTTTGCATTTTCGATGATAAACATTTCGTCGGGGTGAAAACATAAAATTTTAAAGAAGTGAAAAACGTGTGCGCGAACTCACCGCTTTCATTCTTTCGATTTTATTTCATTTTTCGGAGGAAGTTCTTCAAGCGTAATGTAGATATATCACATGAAGCAAGCAGATTAGAGTTCACTGTCAGGCCAATGTTGAAATCATGTTTGTTTGGCTGTCTTGAGAAATTTGTGCGAACAGATGTTTCGATTTGTTTGCATCGTCTTATTTCATATTGCTTTCAAGATATACTACAGTGCCTGATCGTTTCGCTTGTCATTTTGATATATTAAATCGCTAATAAATTTTGCACTCAATGACAAATTACGATGACACTTGCTTTTGACCATATTGCACCGCAGTTAAATTTATGTTTAAATTCATATGCTTGTGATGCTGTTTTTTTTTCTTTAATTAATTAGGATGCTGAATTGGACGAACATATATAGATGCTGTTTCGCATATGAATAATAAATTTGGTCTGTTGATTTGCTGCTTATTGAATTTCATGGTTATTGACCATAAAACACAATTCTCTTCGCATTGTTTTTATTGTTTGGCTGTTTTTTTTTTTTTCGATTGTGTAGACTCCATGATACGTACATTATAACGAATTCATATCAATATGAATTCATGAGAGAAGTTCGAAATCGATTTGCCATTTATTTGGTTAAATTGGATGAGGGGCTTAGCTTCCATTCCAATGATATTATCTCAGACCAAATGTCAACACTTCAAATGAATATGTTCGAAAATAGTAATTTTCCACTTTTCATTCAGTTCAGAAATGTCGGACAGCACAGTGTATGTGTGCGTGTGTGTGTGTTTTTTCTTGAAATTCCACAGCAAGTGGAGTGCGAAGCTGTTTTGCTGATTCATTCATGATATTAAATGTTTGGAATGAAGTGTGTAACCGAACAGTTGTTGATTTTGATTTTGATTTATATTCGGAGAATTTATTGTTTCAAAACCACCACTCATTCCATTGTCGTTAAAAGGTCAGTATGAGAATATGTTGGTTTAATACCGAAAATGGCGAGACTTTGCCCATTCATCGGTTTCAATTTTTTTTTATGAGTTTATTTTCTCCATGAGTCAGCAATAGCTCTATGCACCAACATGAATTCCAAAACAAAACATCAACAGCAACAAAACTTGAATTGAAAACTCTCGCACAAACGATTCTTGTGGATGTGTAATTTGTGAAAATATATAGTAAATATATGGCAAAGGATACTCTTGAAAATGGCAGCAGCTATGGAAAAAAAGCACTAAAAACATCTACGCAAAACGTAAACTATTTTTATGATGTCTGCGGTTCAAGCAATTTACACCATTTACTGGTTTATTTTTTCCGCCTTGAATTTCAAACCGCTCGACCATGAGGCGATACGTCTTGCATGTAGATTACTAGATTTACAATGAATTTAGTGCTAAGATGTTAATAAATATGCGAGAGTATAAAACTATATTAATGACTGAAAATCGACGATGGCATACACAAGTTTTTATTTTCCATTCATTTAATGGATGTTTTCAAAATGCCGAACACTAGCCAAAAAATGCTCAAGGCGATTATCGGTGAGCTTACTGGAAAAGGCAAACCATTCGTGAATTTAAAAAAAAAACACACACTATATGGTTCGTGTAAAAGAGATGAGAAAATAGTCGCAATGAAATTTCAACGAATTTTAAACATGTACATAAAAAAAAGTTTGCCGAATCGAAATGGAATTTATGGAATGAACTATCGACGGATAAAACTCGTAAACATCACATTCATTGCTTGTCAGCACATCTTTCAATTTCGAATTGAGTGTTTCGTTTGCCAACTTGTCACATCATTCAATAAATGTTCAATATTGAATATATGTATATCAACTCAATTTTAGTGGTTCTGCCTTTTACTACATCCCAATGAAAATGCGCTATTAAACTAACTTTTTCAATGCAATCACTACCAACAGACAACCAATTTCACATTGAAATCACAGGAAAACAAAAGCTCAACTAACGCACACACACACTCACAATACACACAATAAAATGGAGTATTTTCATTTTCGAAATTTTATTGCACATCCATACAAATTGAGATGTCGGGGAATTGAATTGACGCACTGCAGCGATTTGTTGATTAGCACTGTGTTTTAATTAAAGCACTCTCATCCCTCGATCATTTTCATATACACATTACACACAAACATCGACTCTCTTCCACACACTCGTCGCTTAGCCCGAAGGAAATACACAACGTGTACATATTGATGTGTTCGTTTTGCGGTTGTCTGAATGCAGCAGCAACAGCAACAAAAAACGTTCATTCGGCGTATCGAATAAAAAAAAATTGTACATAAAATGCGCTTTTGAACGATATATGTGAAAATTGATCAATTAAATACTAAATCAACCATATAATTTAGCTGAAGTCGATGCTAGACATTGGCAATGGAATAAAAATCCTTCGTGCTTTCGAAAGTAGTGATTTAGTCGAAAAATCGGGAAATTACCGCTTATTTGTTCAATCGATTGTAACATTAGTTCTTATCGTTGTGCAAAGCAGAAATTAAATTAGCCGAAGTTGCAATGCAGAAATGTGTTATTGTTTCATTTTGTGAAAATGTTTTGTCTGGTGTGCGAGTTGCCGATCCGAGCAAGTCGATAAAACACCTGCGCTTTCACTTGCGATTGTATTTACTTTTTCGAACTGATAAAAAAAGCAAGTGCGCACTCTCTCGCACCACAAAATGTCTATAAATCATACACAATGCACATTTAAGCCATTACCGTTCATTAACACTGAGCCGCGTGTTTTTGTTCACTCGGTGCTTTTGCTTCGCTTTATGATGAATGCTTGCATGCGTCAAAATCGCGTCGGGTGTGTGTAATTCTATGGAAGATTCTCTTCGTGCACTAAGAGATTAGTTTCAATATTTATTACCTAAATGTATATGCGTAGTTTGTTGTTTTTTTCTACTATTTCAAAATTTTACGCTTACTTTTGCACTTTATTGGATTAATCAGCGTGAATGAACATTAAACTATGCTTAGTACATACATATGGCAATTATTAAAATTCAATTCATAATAATAACAAAATTCTCTTAACCTAAACATCACTATCATATAGTATAATATCGATTTAATGTAAATTGATCAACGGCACCGTCTAAAATCAATCCTATTGGGTGCTTATGTATAAAAATTAAAATTTTGTTTACGTATACCCACACAACAGCCGCATGGTAAACATAAAATGGTTATTAAAAAATGGTGCGACACTTACCTGTGCACGATGTTTGCTAACAGATCATTATGTTTTAATCGGCAGTCGATTGGCACTTTTTCATAATTAACGGTTAATGTTCCAGCCTTGATACAGCGTTCATATTCTTCGGCTGGATGAGCGCGAAATTCACGTGCAAATACGTCTAAAATTTTCTCACCCACCCAACGACCTTTGGTGAATGTCGTGAACGTAAAGTAATACGGATAAACTTTTCGTAAGCCTGAAGAAGAAAAAGAGAGATAGAGAAAATAAAATCGAAAGAGATAAAGTATAAAAATGGGATGATTTATCGAAAAATATAAAACTGAAAATGTATATGAGGTGAGAATGGAGCGCGATGGAGACATAGGTGAAAAATACGACCAAAGATAATGATGATATAAACGACAAACTGACGAAAACAAAAGAATAGAGAAAACATATATGATCATGATTTGCCATCGTGAGGAAACAAACAAAACAAACGCGAAAGAGAAATACGAGCAATTTTTCTTTATTCTTCTGTTGTCAGCTCGTTTCAACAACAACCAAACACTTGTCACGGCGATGAATTATACTTGCACATTCGGTAATACAGAAAGAAGAACATAATGACAACTGGGAACCGAATAGAAAACTGCTCCACAAAAAATGCCACAAAACATTGATCTAAAACATAAATATTTGCGCGATACAAAAAATGTTTTGTATGTATATTTTACAACGCCAATAACAACATAAGAATCAAGCCATACAACAAAAATAAAAAGTACAAAAATAAAATAAAATCCAAAAACGAAATATGTTTATGGTTTTTGCACGAATAGAAAACATTTCATTAAATAAATATTAAAGTTGTTCGAATGAATCATGTCGCCAAGACGTTTGCATGTGTGCCACACTGAATCAAGGCGGATTTTTTTTTTTCGTTTCTCGAACTCCCTCTCTTTTCCTGCCTGAGCGTTTCGTTCACCCCTGGGCTTATTCGGCATGGATTACATGGCAAGTGTCGTTTTGATATCGATTTAGTTATTTGCCAGGTGCGATGACGGTGAAAAGAAACACACCGGAAAACAACAACGTCCTCGAACACACATAGGCAAAATAAGTTTGAATTATTTTGAATTGGTGAAATGTTAGAAGTTTGAACAGAGAGAAAAAAAATGTTTACAAAAATAGTGTACAACACATTGTATAGCGCACTTGAACATACACACATTGCCTGCCACCATTGATGGCGAATAACAAAATAACAAAGTAATTTTATTTATAACGTATTCTTTTGCTACTTTGTTGTGTGTAGTTGTTGAAAAAAGCGCCTACATGTTTATGTTCATTCTTCGTCGAAATCAGTCGGGAATTCAAACAGCATGTGGGCGATATCATCACATCACATGTGAGAAAAGCTCTTTTTATTCAAACTGGACGAATTTAGAGTAATGCACAAACACACACGGCACGATAAAAAGTCAACTGACGTTTTTTTTCGCCCTATGAATCTCATTTCGTCAGCAATATTTGAGAAAGAAAGCGACCAAGTAAATATTAATGTGTATGAAGAAAAAAAGAACTCAAATGCCAACGCAAACATCTCGAGCCAAAATCGAAAGCAAATATATGTAATGCAAGTGGTGAACAAACGGTAAACCGGGTTCCTTCCTCCATTAGAATAACATTTGAGCAAAAGTGGAGTAACGAACATGCCGATATGTTGTAACTACCAACAAAAAAAGAGAATAGAACAAATCTAATGGAATACAAATGTTCACAACGGCAGCACACGCGCCATCAAATTTTTTTCTCGCCATCTCCTCACCTCTCCGTTTCGTTGTCGTCTCCACTCGTTAGACTTTCTTCGATAAAAAAAAGATGTACGGTAAATACCAACGATACAAGATTAGTCAAATGGCATAAAAAAGGCTCAACTTTTTCGCCATTCGACATAATACATTTTATTTGCTTTTAGTTTCGGTGCTGTTCTCCCATTGTTGTTATTTCGCATGACGTTTGTATTATGTTACAAAATGCTAACCATATTGTTCATCGTACCACGAAATTTATGTGATGCTTTGTTTTTATTATTACCACTTTAACAAGCTGATTTGCTTGCTTATGTTTTGTTTCCGTTTTCTTTCGTTTGGCTTTTTCCATATTCGCCAAATCGAAATAGCACAAACTTAGCACAAAAGTTGATGGAAAAAGTGAAAGACAAACGGAAAATGAAACGGGGGGAAACTCATTATTTAGGCTGATTTATATGCGTTGAAAAGCATTGATTTGTCGGTCGTGTTTGATCGTCAAAACGGTAGCGTTTATTAAATTCAAATTTTCAAAATTAGCTTGATAATTGATTTATGTCGATTAGTGATGGGAATCAGTGTACAAAAGCCACAGCCAATCTACTTAATTCAGTTACAGGTTTTGACGATGATTATTTTCATCGTTCGAATTCCGTAAAATCCAAGACAAACAAAGCAACCGGTAAGATATTGACGTAACGATTGAATGATTGATAGCACAATAGGCTAGACACTTTGCGATAAACACACAACAACTGGGAACAAACGAAACAACAACACATCGTCTCTCATTCAACTTTTCGGCTTACAAATTAAGTACGTGAAGCTTGTATCAACACAAACGACACACACACACAAATGATGCATCACATAGTCAGCACATTTTCAGCAACTTTTGTGCCGTGTCAAACAGCATGTAGGTTCGCATTAAAACGCATGTTACGTTCACTCAATTTGTGTGTGTGTTGTGTGAAGAACACAAAGCAATCGTTTTATCTCGTTTTATTGCCATAAATAAAGTTCGAGCATGAACAATTCCAGGGCCAAATTGATTGCATGACGCGCACGACAAACTCACAAAACCGTAAAGTACACATAAACAACACATCCACACACACACATATGGCAAAGCACAAAGAGCAACGACTATTGAAACGGATAAAAGAAACTTTTTGATCGTTGCGCATTTTCCGAGGCGAATTTCCAATCGTTGTGGCAAGTTTTTTTTTGGCAAAATACAGCAGGTACACTCTTGACTTGTCTGCAGTTTGCCGCATGTAAAGATTGTGTAAGTGAATGTTATGAATCAATTATCCTCGTCGACGTCAAGCCACATGCACAATCGCGCGAATCAGCTACATTTCTTTTTTGTGTTATGTTCACCATACACGTATAAACGATATGCGATGAAAACAATATAAATTGCCACCAACGAATGCACCACCGAAAAAAAGAAGAAAAAAACACACACACAAGAAGAAAAATAAAACTGCCGTCAGCACACACTGAAAACTACTCAAGGGAAAGTGTGGCAAATAGCTATAGTTAACGCTCTTTTGCAACCAAATCAATAAAAGGTGCGCGCAAAACTTTTTTTTTCGTATTTTCGAAAAAGAAACAAGCACGAACGAGATAGGGATAGAGTAAATAATAGAAAAATGCACCGTTTTGATGCACAATGTGTACATATAAAGCAAGTCAAACGAGAGGTAAAGATAAAAAGCCCAAACCACGCGATTCGGTGCTCAGGTATTCGATTCACTGTGTGAAAATTTATGAAAAAACACTCTAGAATTTAAATGCAGTAAAATATTAATGAAAAAAAAAGAATATGGAAAGAAATGCACATGATACGATGATGAAAAAAAAAACAGGAGAGAAAAAAATCTACACGCCAAAATTGAAACAACTCACCATTTTCTATGTAATAAGAAGTTTCATGGTATCGTTCGTCTGTAAATCCGGGCCGCTTCGCTTTAAGTGCTTTGGTCTCTAGTTTTGCCTGTGGAACAAACAGATTAAAAAAAGTAAAATGTTAAGAACGCCATTCTCATAACAATAAATATATGGAAAAAAAGGAGAAAAAAATAACTCGATTGCATACTTTCTCATTTCTAACATTTTTATGCTTTTACTTATAATATCGTCCATGGTTTATATAGAGAACGAACTTCGACAAGGTTTAATGGATGGAATGAGACTTTCTTTTTTGGTAAATAGTTCAGAACAATGCGGAAGAATCGTTGTGAATGTGAAGAGTGTAAAAAAAATCCCAAAAAATAATATTTCTTATGGTATTTTTGTGTTTGCAAAACGTTATTTCTGATGTCCATTGCAAATATTATTCTGACAATTTTTAAAATGCAGTCAATCCAAAAGATTTCTCCATTCAAACGAGATGTCACGGAATGAAACATATACATATACATTTTATTCGTGTTCGTGGCGTCTCTTGGTTTTCGTCTTGAAAAACTTTTCGAAGTGAAAACTTTTTCTTTTCCTTTGGAACTTTCCTGTAATTTCCACTCGACATATCTTAACACATTGAAATTTGGAGTGAAAATCCGTTTTTGAGTTGTAACAGCTAGCGCATTGTTGATAAAAATTGAGATTGATGCTGCATAGTTTGAAACGCAGCTCGAGACAGTTTTTAAGATCGATGGGATAAGCACCTCGACCACAACTGCATTTTACGTTTATTACTATACCTACAACCAATATATCCGATGCAATTGGATTTAACGATACGAAAAATTAATCAAATCTTCAAAACAATTTCGCTTCAATACTGAATGAGACATAATCGAATCGTATAAAACTTGGTAAGTTCGAAAACTTTTTCGCTATATTCCCATAGATTGTCGTTCGATTTTCATTGGTGACTCGCATTGATAACGCCAAATTCTTGCCATCTTTAGCGCATAAAACGACCGAACCGAAAAAAAAAGATTTCGAAAACAATGCATAAAAAAGGGCAATGAAACGTGAACTCGAAAGTATATCTTTACATCGGTAGTAAAAGTGATAGCGGAGATACATCGTAGAATTTATTTAATGTGTCTCTTGTGGGTATGACATTTTCTTTTCGGTTTCTTTTCATCGGGTATAAACCGAAGTTTAAAAGTGTTCGATGCGTGAGTGAGAGACTGTCTAGCATCGTTGATTATGAGTTATGGCCAGAAAATGTGTCAGTTTACAGAGGATAAGAATAATAATTATTCTCGTTGGCTGCAAAGAGTCAAACATACAGAAGAAAAAAATGAAGAGTACTGAAACTTTCTTAACAGAACAGCGAACAAGCCCCATAATGATAATGACGATGATCTCTCGTTGGCTCTTTTTTTTCTTTTTCCTCCTTTCTCCAAAAGCAGAAAGTAATTTGTATAATATTCACACGCATATGCATATAAATCTCGGAAGGTTAAAAAACAACTTACAAAAACACACGTTCAACAACAATGGCAAGGGAAGAAAGTACTCAAAACAAACACAACGATCTGCATCCGACAAAAAAGGACAGTAAATAAACGTCGTCGTAAACGCTGTGTGCACAGAAAGGCATTCTCTTTTTCTCCTTATTTTTTTTTTCTTCATCATCGTCGTTGTTCTTCGAAAAAAAGAGGAAAAACAACAAATTCTACACGAGGTTTATTTATGTTTTCATTTTTTGTGTGTGTTTACAAATAAAAAGCTGTTTCATGCTTCATAGCATTGCCGCTTTATTTGAATTTGTTTTGAAATATACGCAATTTAGCGTGTAATGTGGACCGTAGTATCGCACATCAAAAATTCACTAAGCAATACTGAGAGCGAAAAGTGAGAAAGAGAGGAAAAGAATAAAATTTATCAACAGAAAAACACAATGAGGCTCATATTGTAATCGTAGTTGGTCAAAGCCCTCATACAAAACAAATTAAACTAGACGAGAATTATACTATATTTAGTTGTAAGTAAAAGTGAATATGTAATAAAGTGACCCTTTGTTATAGTTGACTGTTTAGATGAATATTTATGCCGTTTCTATGGCATTTCATCGCATGCTTATGCACCGACCGCACATACGCACACACCAATAATAATGAACTACGATGCGAAGACGGAAAATATACCACAGTCATCTTTTAAAATAACACAAAGAGAAAGTTTGCTCATTCCCTCAACCAAAAATGTTTCAATTGACGATGACGTTGTCGACGTCTATATGCGTTTACATGAAACTTCCGAATTATTTTGTTTACAAAATTGACCCATGAATAAAATCATCGGCTTTTGTTTGTTGCTTTATTACATTTACGAAACGCAAATAATCTCATCATCTTCTATGGGAAAAGTTTATATATACGTGTGACGTAAAAAACAACAACAACAGCAACGAAGTTGTAAACGGTTTTCAAGCCTTAAGAAATCTTTTACCAGCTGAAATGCTAATTAGTTTGACAAAACTTTGGCTTCAAAGTGAAGTCCGCTTGGAATGAGATCTGGTTGAAGGCGGAGTTGATAGAATATGCGTTTTTACGACTCTTTCGCATTTCATGCGTGTACATTCAATGCAAACAAAGATGATTAACTAGATTAGATGCATTAATCTAGTCGAAGCTAAAGCTTTGGGCCATACAATGGCTCACATTCTAAAGTGAATGATTTAAGGTTTTTTCTGTTGGAAGTCCGTTCTTCGGGGCTTTGTACGACAAAATCAATGAAAAACCAAAGTAATATTATAAAGTGTATATACTCTTTAAAAGCATAGATTTTCATTGTAACTTTATGACAAAGCCAAGATTTTCCATAAATCCACATTTTCAAAGTAAGTAAACAAAAAAACTTATTCACTTTTCGGTAAACGAAGCGAAAACGACGAGGAGAGATGGGCGAAAAAAGTGACGTTGGTTTGAACGCAATCAAATAAATAAACAAAAAACATGGATAAAACATTCGCATGTGTCTGCTATTGTTGCAGTCTGTGTAAATAATGGTGAACAGCGTAAGATCCACAATAGTTACGACAATCAAAGCTACCCAACCCAACAATATGATAAAGAAATATGGATATGTTGGTATGTTTCGGTTTGCATAGACAAGATAAAAGCATGTGTTTGCTCTATTGATATTGCTTGTGAGCTTCTGGTTTTCTCTTTCTCACTTTCTTGAAATATCTTTTATTTCCACGCGTTGCATTCACCAGAAGAATATGTATCACAGTTGTATACAACAGCTTTCCGCAGTACGCAGTGTGATGAGAGAGAGAGAGAGAGAGAGAGAGAGAGAAAAAAACAACCAACACAAACACACATACACGAAGTGGATGCAAACGAAAATCGAAAAGGATTCTAAGATTGAATAAAAAGAAGGAGCTCGGCTTTCAAATGAAATGAAAAGCATTCGTGCATTTAGAAAGTGCGATGCAGTTTGTTGTAAACATTGAGCAATGAGCAATGAACAGAATATGCTTTAAGTTGAAGACCTCGCAAACTAACGTAGCTTCTTGCTTTTATCCGAGTTTGCATTGGATCGTTTGGTAAATATGAAAAAAAATTGTGTGTTGCTGCAAATGCAAAAAAAAAATTGCTATAAAAGAAGAAAACAAGCGACGAACAAAAACATAGTTTTTAAAAAGGCACAACGGCGCCAAAGGTATAAAAGCGAACACATATGCGACATGTTCTTTTTTCTATCCACTGTGGTTGCAGGAGTGTTCGAAGGGAGATGAACAAAGAGCTCAAACTAAGAAACAACCGTCTTTGAGTAAACATGAACATGAACAATCTTTTATCAGCACGAATTTACTGGTGTGAAAAACTCATAAGAAATGTATTAACATTCAAAAGATGCACACACACTCGCAGAGAGAAAAACAACCACCATGAAATACACCGTCGTTCTAGGCTTTATTTTATTCGATGGTGTTTTTCCTTTCTTTATGCCATCTCACCCTCCTGCTCCGTCTTTGCTATCTCTGTAGTTTAAAGCTTCACTTTTTTCCCCTGTTTTTCATCTGCTTTTAACTATTCAAGAACGATGGTGATGCAGCAGCAAAACAGACAATTTCACAGCGGTCGCTCTTTGCTATTTGGTTTTTGGCGTTGAAATAAAATCAACTAGAACATCACTTTAATGGTTGATTTTACATTTTACTTAAAGCGAAAATCGTTGTGAGCGTGTGTGTGTTTTTGTTTTCTTCCATTTTGCCATCCAATGTTTGTTTTTTACACTGTGCGAACAAAATAATCCAAGCACAAAGGTGACACCAATCAATTATTCAACGACAGGCATTTTCCATTTTGTTGCATTTACTGTTGTCGAACAAAATACCAGTTTTTGTGGATAAAAAAAAAGCAAGAAATAAGTTGGAGGAGAACCTTTTAGAAGTAGTAGCATAAGCCGAAGGATTGTCAATGCGGTCTCTACTTCAAATACTGAGAAGAATAAAAAAATGTACTTTTTGGCGTCATTAATGACACCATCAACAAATGCAAAAAAAGTGCAACCAACTAAAAATAAATTTATCTTCTTTATCATCCGTTCAAATTTGAAAATAGGTATTGATTTTTATTTTGATTTCCATTTTGTATTTTCGACATAACATTGTCGATGTGAACCGTATTGAATTGCATCCAATAAATTCATAAGCAATCGACAATATTCGATGATTGCACACCATCGATTCAATTTCAAAATGGTTGGTTGGGAAAAGTTTCGCGATTTTAAGAGTTGGAACAACAAAAAAAAAAACGGTGAACGAGCAAAGGAATGGGAATGGGAGATACTGAGTGCTGTATGCTCTAAATAACTTTGAAATGCGCTTCAATAATAATAGCTGCATTACGTGATGAAATTTCAATTGATCTGTCGGTTGCCGTAGGCAAAACACATTGCAAATAAATGCAATTGCCAGTTGGGATGGTGTATTTGCTGTGCGAATACATCGAACGCGGGGTGAACGCTTTTCAATTACATAACTTATAGCGCGCGCACACATACAAAATTACTATGTACAATATTCTCTTTGTGTTTGTGTGCACATTATGCAGCACTCGATATCATTGCTCCATTTCTATCATTCATTATCATTACGGTATCATTTGCTGCCTATTCACCGAAGAACAAATGCACACAAAAAAATGAAGATAATGTAAAAAACATCAATTGATTTGTTCGCCGCGTCGGCAAGCTACAAAAAAAATGTGAAACTCTTTTTTATCGAGTTTTAAACTACGCGATGGTGTGTGAACTGTTCACCCGACCTACAACCCTATAACGCATAGCGAACATTGGCTTACTGATTTCACAATGTATTTCAAAATCGATAATAATACAAACAATTACAATTCGATTTCGGGTTAACCATTACTGTGTATATAATGGATTCAATTTGAAAATGATAATACGTTTTAATGTTTGAATATGTGTGCCACTTTCTCTCCCTCTCTCTCTCTCTCTCTCTCTCTCTCTCTCTCTCTCTTCATAGCTGCTTCGTACTCTTGAATGATTACCCGAATTTCGAATTGTAGCAAGAGATTTTTTGAGCATTGCAGATAAAAGTGGCAAACGTAAAACCAATATCCATTTTCCAGTGAGTGAACTTAAATCCCAAAAAAAATCGAGAGTTTTTGAAAAAAAGGAGAGATGGAACGGGGAAATTACTCAAAAAATATGGATGTACTTAAATGGATTAAAAACCATTTTCATGAGACTAATATAAATTAATGAAATCTTATGAAATGGCAATAAAATCGACTGGTGGAAACAGCGAACTATACGATTGCATAACTGCGGGCGAATATTTTATTTTATTTTCATTTATTTGAGCACATTTTCTATTACCGGAGATTCGAATCAATTAACCGGCCTTCAAACATATCTTTTGATGAGCAATCTTAGTGATTTGCAAAGCGAATGTCGATGAGCCTGAATAATTTCGAATATGCGGGAGCATACTTTACAACGCTCTCTGCTGTCATTATCTAAATTGGTATTCGAAAATGACGAGCGGTAAAAAAAACTATCTATATCGAACATGGAAATGTTGTATAAAAACGATCGAATTGAATCAGTTTGCATGGTTTAAAAAATGGAAAACGAGAAAATGCTTATACTGAAATGGCTTTCACTCTTAACAATATCAGAATTCTGTACAAATTCGCAGAGGCGAAAAAGAGTGTATAAATCACAAGTTAACAAGGCAAATTAGATACCATAATGTCGAGAATGTGGGCTCAAAAAATGAGGAGGGTGGACTAAAACAGAAATCACTTTTACACTCACGCACATTTCAACGCGCGCGCCGCATTTTTGCCATCGAGCTTAAACCATTATGATATAATTTATATACATCTATACGACGCAGTGTATTCGCCTGCCATACATTTAAATGAGGAGGAATCGCCCACACATACTAAGGCCTGAGAAAAGTTTACATTCCTTCCGGCTAAATTATGCACAGAGAGAAAATAGCGTAAGAAAAAGACGCAGTCATTGTCGATATGAACTATGGTTGCTACTGCCACCAGTACACGGTTTCATGTGTGCTTATATCGTCGAGAGAGCGAGAGTTGGCACAGTTCACAAAGGATAATTAACACGCGTATCCAAGTGAAAATATACACTAGTGTGACTTGATGGTAAATAGCATGGCGTCAACGATATGTGTTTGTTTGTTGATTGTGTTAGTGTGCGCTGTGCAAAAGCGAAACACACACCCAGAGATTTAGAGTTAAGTCTTTCGACTGGATTAAAACTATGCCATCGAGCGTCTATTCGCTCACGTTCTCAATCAGATCTTTGAACGATAAAGTGATTTAACGTTTCCACATCTTTCTGTGCTCGGGCATTTTTCCTATTTAGGTCACTCTTTCTCATTCGTGGCAAAAATAAATGAAGGTGACGACAGTGATCAATATTTTTTAGCACTTCTCATATGACCATTTTTCACTCCGTTCAGCAAGAAAGCTTGTGATACCAAGTTTTCTTAAATGATTCTAAAAATTGGATATTAAATGCTTCACCAAAGCATTTCATTTTTCATTTTAAAAAATCGAAAGAATGTTCATCAGTATCACAGCTGATATTATATGACGAAAAAAAGAAACGAAGTAAGTGCGACAATATCTTAAAAATGGACTCATATGGTGATTTAAGTGTGCTGCCTACAAAAGATGAGGTGAAGTCGTACCATATGAAAGAGCCGAACAAAAGTGTGAAAAGCTAATTACGATGAGTTTATCATTTGTTGTTGCATTTTCTTTTTAAAGTCATTGTACGCTTGGCCTGTGACGCGACACCACTTATAACATATACGTAATCACTTGTCACATTCTCGTTTGCTCCCTCTATTCTCTGCTACTTTCATGTTGCCCCTTCGTACACGTTTTTTTATTGTTATTATTTTCCTTTTGCATCATTATCGTTTTTTTATCGTCTCGCCGAGTGGATGCTCGCATCAAGAACATAACGACGTAATTTACGATTATGTATGCACCGACTGCGGGATTATATGTCCGACCGATACACACACAGAGAGAGAGAGAGAGTGAAGAAGTGGAATTAGAAGAGGGAGAAAGATTCACAGACACTAAAGGAATTTTTAAAGTGAGATTACATGTTTGAACTATTAGCTTAATGGGAATAAGTAATAAAACAAAAGTTAGTTTTCCTCTCTCTAATAAATTCCATAAGGGATTTTGAGTTGGCGAGAGATAGAGATGATAGACAAAACTCTAGCTCAGTCACATGTTCGAATGAATGCTATAGAAAAATCTGAAAATGAATTGATACATTTTGTGTTTAAATTGCAAAAGTCGAGATTGGACGTCATGGGAATCAATTGAAATGGATACTTTTGTATACAATTTCATGAAGTAATAACATTGTAACTTTTCTTTGAAAATGAAAGAACAACATGTTTGAGACTCAGTCTCTATTGGATTTGTTCCCCTTCGAAATTGACAATAACACTGAATATACATGGTACATTTTTCACTCAATATAATATAAATACTTTTATATGTAATTTCGATTATTTTAAATTGAAAAAAACTTCGATGCGACTCAATTTTTCCGTTGAATTCAACTTTTTGACAGACCTGCGTCATTTTGAAAAGTAATTCCTATTTGACGAATTGAAATGTCGTTGTATGTGCAAGAAAAAGAAGAGCAAAAAGAAGAGACACAATAGAAAACTTTCTAGGGTTGGATGCAGGATAAAATAGATATAGGAAAAAAAAGAGTGTGTAACCAGCAAGCAAACGATTGAGAGATTAAACTTTAAACATGAGTAAGAAAGAAGTAACACCAAGAAACAAAACATACACAACTTATTCGGTTTGTCTTTTGCTATATTATCGTGTCCGTCTCTTTAAAAGTTGTTTTCACTGTTTTGTTTTTATTTGATTTTGGTTGTTAAACGTGAAATTGGGCGTGAGATTGTAGTAGCATTCGATAGAAAAAAAATATATACAGAGAGAGAGATAAAATGCACTAAAAATCGCGTGGTGTAGTAGTATGCGATGTGTATATATAGAAATGTAAACGATGAAATTGTTTCTTTATATTGTTTTTATTTTCTTTCTTCATTTACCTTTTTCAGATCCTTTATTTCGATATCATCTGCTTTTCGTTTCTCGGTTGATGTCGCCACAAGTTTTGTCTTCTCTTTGTCTGGCATTAGAATCTGTAATAAAGAGATAAACAGAAAAAGAATGGAATAAAATGAAAACTAAACGAAACAAAAGTAAAAAAAAACACAAAAACAAATAAAACAAAATGAAATTGTCGAAAGTAAAAAAAAATTCGATGAAAAAACGGAAACACAATGCACACATACAAATGCTCGAAAGGGTTTCACCAGAGACAAGATGAAGCAACATCGGAATATGTGGCAGGAAGTTGCTTGTGTAAAAAATGAAGTCGAAGCCAGCGAATCTTTGCCGGATGCATACAGGGAGCAATGCTTGCAATCAGAAGCAGTTTAAGAAGCTCGAAAAAAAAAACCATTTACAATCCTCCGTTCTATCATATGTGAGCTGACGGTGTAAGCGTGTGTGTTTGACTATAATAAACGAAAAGGATTTGCGATGGTGTGCTGAAGCGTTCGATGAGTTTTACAAGATAGAAAATTGAATAATATTTGTTTTTCGTTTTTATTGTCCCATTTCGTTGTGCCGATGTTGCTTCAACCTATGAAAGAATGCTCTTTTATGCTTTTTTTTTGTTCACGAATTTAACGACTAAACTGCAATGCTCTACCTCGATTTCCGTTACGAGTTTTTTTTGTTCTTCACCTTCTTCTGTGTGTTTATCGTAAGGTGAATACTGCAACACACTACTTTATTTTGCCCAATTTAATTCAGCTCAATTTGGGTTTAACACACACAAACACACGGTATGACACAAAATACCAAGCAGCAGCATACGAAACATAAAACAAGCATTTTACGTTTCAATAATGCAATCAGCTGTTTCTGTTTGATGATCATAGCTTACCCCCGAGTTGAATGTTGGAAACATTTTGTTGTTGACACAAACATATTTTACAATCAGTTGTCACATTTCATTGCCATTCCGAAACAAATCTATTAACTACCAATTTTGAGATAAAAGATATACAAACAAGACATGAGCATGGGCAAAAAGGCTTACGAGTTAACGAAATCGCAATGCAAGAAGAGATATGTGTGAGAGCAAAAGAGAGAGAGATAGAGAAAAAATAAGTGAAAATTGAAAAACAAAAATTAGACATTTGATTGTGTTTTTTCACTTTTTACATATAGCTCATGCAAAATGCACTACGAATCGATTCGGTTCGACTTTGTATTTTTTTTTTGATTGAGGATAATGAGAGAGTGTGTGTATGTGTGTGAGAATAATGTGGAATAAAATGAATGAAATATCATTTGAAGATAAAGTAGAAACGGACTTTTAAAAAAAAGAGATTATAATTGAATTAAGATTTGTTGCATTCAAAAATGGTAGCAGGTGCTGTTGAGTCGCAAGAAAAATGCAATTGCACTTATTTGTTTCACTTTTAATAAATCATTAAATTAGCATCTACAATCCGTTTCCTGTTGAAATTCATATTTTTCAACTTAAAGTGCATCCCAGCGCAGCAATGCCTTACGCCTTACGCCGTCACACCGCCTCGATATCATTCATTTTGGCATAATTCATGAAAATGTCAACCAAAATTCAGCCAAACATGTACCACAAAATCCATCCAACTGTCATTTCAATTATTCTTATAAATTGATTTAGAATTCGTATGAATTTCATCCTTTTCACGCTCTCTCTCTTTCTCTCGATTCGTTTTTCGTTCGAACCTTTTGAAAATGAGCGCATGTTTACAAGGAGAAGAATAGTGTCAATTAATTATGTCGTTGAAATTGCTGTGGCCATTATTATGGTTTGTAATTACAGTTAAATCTTTCCGAAATGTTCACATTAAACGTATAGCACATATGAAGGTTTTATTTTTGGCTACTAACCGCCATAACTCATGTTCATAAACAAAACAGCAAACAACAGAAACGACACTGCCAAATTCCCATTTCGATATGTGTAAACCGCGCTTGAAATCTCAAACATTTTGTTGGCAAATTGCTTATTCAATTTTTGACAATTGTGTTTACGGTGCATGAAAGACACATCAGTCAATTCGTAAGCATTTGACAACGGAAAATGTTGTCATTTTTACGTCGAGCTACTATGCAAAAGAAGTGCATTTAAATTCAATTTACAGAAAATTCGTATTTTTAGAACATAAAAGTGAATAGCAGACATTTCAAATATTGGTATAAAATTGTTCATCTCAACGAATGATCACATTGCATGAAAAAAAAAAATATGAAAAATTGAGTTTGAACATCGTATTCAACCAGCGCACCACCATCACCAGCAACAACATCATCAACATCAACTCATTGTAACAGTGTTCAAATGGTTTTTTTTTGTCGGTTAGCTTATGAGCTATGCCAGACTCCACTTTAGTTTTCGGTGATGAGCCACTGTGTTCAACGTAATGATGGATGAAAATGCAAACGTATTATTACACTGATTTTGTTGACAATACGATACGACAATAATATATTAAAGTGAACACATGCCCGGGGAAACATTCATGGTGACTGACTTGTAAATGCGTGCAGAAAAAAAACGTCGTCGAATAAACGAAGCCTTCGCTAGGAAATGAGCAGAGACAACGGTTGATGGATAACTGACATACGAATATCATTAAGAATCTTTTTTTGTTTGTCTCTCTCATGCTCTATTCATCCCATCATGTTCAGTTTTTGGTCGAAATGTTTTCTGTTTACATTTAGCTCATCACCTCAACAGTGAGCTGCAAAAAATGGCTCGATTTTTCTTCTTTTTTGTTTGCTTTCTCTAACATGTTTCATGTCACTTAAATTGGCAGAGACGAATATACACGGCTCTTCAAAATCACCGTTAGAACAAAATTACAGCGGTCCAGCTGACGCCGCACTGATTAAATATAGGCATCATGTCTCGTCGACACCAAATTAGATCGTTCACGTGAACTGTTGCGTAATGCGTGTATCAATCTAACGCATAAACGTTTTTATCACTACATAAGGGTGCAATTAAGCCTAATTGTTCAATACACCCACTCAAACACTATAGCCAACAATTTACGGGTGGATATCGATTTTCGAAAGTTTCGAGTTGATGGTGGTTTTCGGTTTAATGGAAATGACTGACGTTTTTTTTGCTTGCTTCACATTTAGTTTTGAATGTAATTGAAATAATACATAATAGAGATGTTTTGAGTGACATTGCAATGAAAAAAAAAAAGAAATATGGCTACAACAAAAAAGTAACTGTTATATTTAAAACATTTCCGACGTTAAGTTTTTGATACTTGTCTCGTTCGCATTTTACTTAAAACTGCTATTGACGTAAGTCTTTGCTCAGATTGTTCTCGTTTGGGCATTTTACAACAACCGAACAAAGTTTAACTAGCTTCCGACGATGACGTTAAAGACAATGACAATGCTTATGCAAAGCGATGCAAAATGTACGATTCATATGGGACGGAGTGCAACGACGAGAAGAGAAAATGGAAAATGCTGCACGAATGAAAATCAAATTTAACATCAAAGCGAAAAGGAAGAATGAATTAATGAAAACTTTATGAAGTTAAACATAATTTTAGCTTGAATAAATGCATTATAACAATTGTAAGTTTATGCATTCGTTCAAATCGATTTTTTTTCTTTCGTTGCTTGATTTTTTCAGAGCCGCTTTTGCAGCGAAATTTTCTCTCATTTCTTCACATTATTATTTATTTTTTCAGCAGAAGAAAAATGGTTTGAATGAGATAGGTCAAAATAACACTGAACGCATTATACTCAACAGATGGTTTATTATTCACGTTCTTCGGCATAAATCAGAGTTGAAAAAAAAACGCTGGTGTTGCCATTAAAACAGAATGAACACACACACACACAAAATAATTCAATCAATTTTACCGAGAAATGAAGATCGAATGGCATGGCAGCAATGTAAAATGCCAGATAAAATTGTAAATGAAATGCAAAATGGGTGTTGAAAAATCAGCGGCTGAGCGGCTCACACCACATCATTAATTTTATTTTAAGTGAGAGAGAGAGCGAGAGAGAGAGAGAGAGAGAGAGAGAGAAAGCCGTAAATTTATGGGAAAGCTTTTTAAACCATCATATATGAACAAAAGGATTTTTCTGTATGTCAAAATAAATCTTATTCTGCCTCAGATATACCTCAAAAATCAGATCAATTTTATGAGCCGTTTTTCCATTCTTTTCAACTTTTTTTTTCTCACAATTTTCGGAATATTTGTTACATGAGCGGGCGCGTGTGCTTATATTTCAACGCCCAAAACCAACATCAATTCTGCACAGACAACGACAATAAAAAAATATATTGTCGATTAAATGTGTGCATGCAAACAGTGTTATGCGATAAACAACTGGCCAAACGATGATACGTATTTATTTAAAACGGATAAATCATTTTAGTTTCATTTTACATGACAGAGAAATAATACCATATACTGGTAAAACCATATAGTGGTGAAAAAATGTTTTCCACTGAAAACGCCTATGGGCGAAGTGACGACATCAAGCGAGAATGTGTGAGAGAGAGTGAGAGAGAGAAAAAGAGAAATAGAAAAAAGTGGCACCGAATATTATTTCCACAGAACAATAAATAATCGGACATTGTGGTCGAATCCTTGTATGCATCATTTTATTTTTCAAATTAAATTATATGACATTTTTTCCATGTGACGCTTGAAATATATTACCGCAAATGTGTGGTTTTTTTTTTTAAATTGAATCTATATCATGTTCTGACGCATAAAAACACACCATGTGTGCATTTTATATTTGCACATTGTAATGGCCGTTTTTTATTCAAATATTCGATTTTTTTCACCTGTTTCATTTGAAAATTCCATTCTCTTTCTACAAAGGTGTTTCGAAACACATAATGTGCGGTGAATTTTGTCTTGGATAATTATACAGATGACATTGAGGACTTGCAAGTGACAAAGATAAATATTTCAATTTCTCTCTCGGGGAAAATGTTCCTCAAAATTTGCGCAATGAATTTGACTGTGATAATAAAATGATGTGCGGATAAATTCAATCGTGATACGATGTTATTTAATGATGATCAAAGAAATATCAAAATTGGGAAGCAACCTCAAAAGCAACTTTTCACACACACACACACATTTGTAAGATCTTGTTTACGTGAAGGAAATGTGGTAGCAGCAGCACACAGAACATACGTAATCCAATGTAAATAAATTGTGGATATACTTGCACGGCAGCGAGAGAATATGTAGCCATGCACAGTGAGCGTGTATCTGTTCTGGGCGACTAATGTCGTTGTGGCATTCACTAAATGACATTTTTATTCAAATTTTGACAACATTTAACATCATTAAATCCCAGTTGTCGATGCTGTATCGTGCTATTCTCATACTCTTGTCGCATGCAATGTCACAACAGATTACTTCTCTGCACACTCAAAATCATTTTCTGTTTTCAAAATAAATGTGTGACACTTGTGTTGCGGCGTATACATGTACGCCCGCTTCAACCTGACATTTGTAATTTATCAGTGAGGCAAATCGCGCATCACATTGCCAGTCTCATTGTACAATTGAGAAAGAGTGAGAGGGGGACAAAGAGACTGTATGTAGATCTCTGCATTGAGCAGACACAAGTTTCTTTGATGTATAAAAAGTTTTGCAATTCTTGAGTGCTATTTAAAATCATAGCAACCGTTCTTGAACAAAATATTTGTGATTAATATTGCCGTCTAAACATAAAATGATTTTTTTTACAAATAGAACAAAAAAAAAACCGTCATCGTACTTCTACGTAGCATTGACGGCTGAAATGAAACAGATTGATAATGTTTTTTAATGTTTACGACGAACATAAAACTTGCTTATGACACAAAAAGTATACTGTGATAAGTCAAAACTTTCCGATTTCAAGAGTCTCGAAACTTAAAAAGAATTCAAGTGAATTTGAGGCAACGAAAATTCAGTTCGATCCCGCAAAATATTCAAACGAAATGTGAGTTTCCTCTTAAGCTTTTGTTGCTATCGAAATTTGATCGCTTTTTCTTTCATTTTAAATCGATTGCGGCATTGAGCAGTTGTGTGATAAAAAGGCCATCCAATGAAACGTGATGGTTTTAAAACTCTTTGTACCAAAATTGGTGGATGCGTTACGTTCAGATAGAAGTCTGTTTGGCATCCCAATGTTTCGTGCATATTCGAAATGTTGAATATGAATTTGGTGCGGTTTAAAACGTGGTAACCAACATCATTGTTGGTGTATGTACGTTAGGCCATCGCTCGTTAACAACATATTTTCGAATTCAGTGCATGTACTCAACATTCTTTTCTCTGCGATTATGGTTGTGTGTCGTTCTCAATTTTTTTTATTTCGTCATATATGCCCTTTGTTGATTTCCATAGCATTCTCTAACTGTATCTGCCTAATTTCTGTACATGCTTTGTTTTCTACGTCCGTTATGTGTTCGTCATTATTCACGTATCGTAGCAATAATAGAAGCATCCTTTTTTGTCTCTTTCACTTTTTTTTTTGGTTTTTCGGTTGACTCTTTTTGTGGGTGTGATGGTTCATATGTTACGCAAAGTCAAACATCGAACATTCATAGAGACAAAGGGATGGTTTTTAGAAATTGGTACGTGTTGCGCGAATAAAATACATCTTGAATTTACATTAAAATAGACAAGCGCACAGAGCAATGGTAACCGTTATTTCGAACATCATATTTATCGAAGCAAATCCGCTGTCGGTTTTTTTTAATTCTGTTCATCGATAACGAATGAAGATGAAATTACACGAGCGAAAAAGTTATTCAGGACGAGTAAATGTGAGGGAGGAAGCATCCATTGTAATGCAGGCAACAATTTAAATAATCTATAATTGATTTTCGAGTGATTCCATTTCAGACATATCGGCATTCATCATCTTTTCTTAAATCGATTTTCATTTTTTTAGCTACATAAGATGTGCTTGAACTGAATTTGAATTCAGAAATCTTTCGTTCAATAAATATAACGGGCTAAATTGACGCCTTTTAAATTGACGCAACAATCATTCCTATTAATTTCTTCCCACAGATGAAGTTGTTCTTGACTTGATATGCCAAATAATATTTTCCTAATTTAAAATAGATTTTGATTAAGTCGATTAATTATTCTCCAGACATAAGAATTAAAATACATAGTAGTCTCTCAAATTATCTTGAAAATATTGAACAAAGGTTTAGGTTGTTTTACTATTCCATAAGTCTGGATCGCCAATATGAAAAAAATACTCAGAACATTTCAGTTTGATATTCTTACTATCATATTGTTGAGCCTGATTGTTTTCATTCACTGTTATTTAGACGATATGAAGAGTTAGACGATCATAGAGTTTCATGAAACAATTCTGTATGGGATGATAATGTTCATTTTGAAATGCTTTTGTTGCAAATATTTGTATTTACGCAATGATTATGGAGCTCATTTATCATGCGCTTTATTTTTGCCCTTCTTGAAACTAAGTTACAGTATGTTGTAACTAATGGGATTTTAAATCAAAATCACAAATCAAAAAAATTGATTTGGTTTTAACATTTTCAAATAAAAATAATAAAATAATTTTGACTTGAAGTGCCCACGTTTCAATGATTTAAACATTTTAATTTGAGAAAATTCAAAACAAATTCTTGATTTTCAAGAAAAATCCGAGAACTCTGATTTAATGAAACAGACTACAGCAAAAATTTATTGTGATTTTATTTCGTTGAATCGATTGATATAATATTTTTGGCTATTTTGCAATCATATGCTGTAAACCATGATTCATTGTTCATATCTTTGTTTGTATTGCTGGTCGTTCAACCGTCTTCCCTACGATTTTAAACCACAAAGATTCCGATCGCATTTCTTCAATGTTTTGATAATTCATTTTAAGAAATATGGTCTTTCAAATCAGAATATAAACACAATCAGCATTAGTAGTACATTACCGGTATTGTCTAAGAAATATAAGTCGTGTGTTGCACACGTTATCACCGCACACGGCTCACACAATGTATTACATTACATTGATTATAATCATTAAATAAATGTTATTGGTTGTTCATGCGTTTGCATTTTAATACTTGATAAACGTCACCGTTTTTTTCCACTGTCGTTTGTTGTGCGAAAAGGAACCGACGTAACAAACAAAATAAATGCAGAGTATGAGTGAAAAGGAAAAAAAAGGTCGCAATATATATTATGTGTCCGTTTATACCTGCATTTGAATAATGGACAGGCGAATCCATATTCTTTATTTGTTATTTAATGAACCTAAACAAAGTCACTTTTTTTTGTAATCTACCCTCAATTGTTATCTGCTGCTTGACATTTGTTCTCTGTAGTTTTTTATATTCTACTTATCATGTTTGTTTCCTTTGTTTTCACTTTCTAAATGTTGGTTTTGCTTGATGTATTGGATTGCGTATGGTTTTTTTCCGGACATAAACTCTCTCGCATAAGGCAGACAACAACTCAGCATGAAAAATACCTTTTTTCTCCCATTCAAATGTTACATAAAGGTGAAACAAGCGATGGAATTTTTTTTTGGAAAACATCTAAAAATACCTGCTAATATTTTGCAATGTGATTCTTTCTTCTTTTGCACAAATTTATCTTTAAAAAATGTAAAAAATGCCTTTGGCCATTTCCTTTCATATAGTTAAATTCTCTATTTGAAAAAGAAATGAAAACACAACAATAAAGTGTGCTTAAACAATGCCTATTACTGTCGAACAATCTTAGTTCTTATCAGTTGTTTTTTTTTCTTCAGTGATTTCACTCTATATTCCATGTTAAATCTCAATTTAAAACAGATGACTTATACATTTCCCCTCTACCACCACTCCCTCTCTGTCAGTCGCTCCTTCGATTTGAACACATTCAGCATTTATTTAAACACTATCAGCTTCTTATAAATAATACAGAACGTAGCCGAACACTTGTTAGTTTCAATTTGTTCGTTGACAACGTTTGCTCGTTACACTAGAAAAATGTCGAAAGTTCTATTCACAATCCTTGCCGTTTGCCTCGTGCAGGTACTATTTCTTTTGTTTCATTTCTTTATGATTCAAAATCAGAGTGATTTTTATTTATTAAATTTAATTTTAATGTGGAATTTTAATTTTTCGTTGGGAAAATGTAGGTAGCGTACGGTCGTGTTGCACGTGAAGAACCAACAACGGTCAATCCATTTTATGCTTTAGTCCAAAATGCTATTGATATGGCTAACAGTACCTTCAATGAATTAAATAAAGCCGTTTTAGACTTTAATGGCGTTCAAAACAATGAGCAATTGTACAACAAAACTAAAGCCAACGTTAACACTTTTGCAGAATCGCTACGATCACAAATTTCCAGCATCAACGAAGAAGTAAGTTTTTTTTGTTCAAAACATAATGCAATTTTATTTTGTCGATACGGATTAACCGGTATCTTTGTTTTTGAACAGACCAAACCAATTCAAGGCAAAGCCGATGAATTATTCAAAACCTTCATTGCTAAAGGAAATGAAATTGTTGAAAATTTGAAATCCAAAAACCCCGAAATTTTCTCTGGTGATCTCAAGAAATTACAAGTAAGTATCTGTCTTTATTCACACAAAAAATGATTGCCTGAAAAAAAACTAAATGTTTTTTTTTTTTTCACAAAAGAGTGTCGGTGAAAATGCATTGCGAACTATAGCCGACGAATCAGAAAAGTTGCGCTCACGATTGCAAGCTGCTGGCCATGAAATCACACCACAAATCGAACAAAATCTCAAAAAAATCAACGAAGCCGTCATTAAAAGTGCACAAGACTTTAAAACTCAAGCCGAAAGCACCTTAAACTCAATTTCAAAGAAGAATTAAACGATTTTATTATATAACCATTTTACATTCATTCAAATCAAGCATGTGTATTACGCTCATGTCAATAGATCATGATATATGAAGAAAAAAAATAAAGCCGAAACTTTTACTTTTATTAATTTGCCTGTGTTTATAATTCTCTCGTATTGATGTTGATATGAAAGGAATTCAAAATTTGTTTACGACGCAATAGACAGTGTGACGGACATTCATAGTTTGCCATGTATAATCGATAGAAGCATCGCCTCTTCGATTGCCGATGATCTCACATCATTTTAATTGTGAAAAAGTCAATAGTCTGCAATCGCTTCAATGACACATTTTCGTTGAACTTGCATTAAGATTAGTCATTAATTTATAAAATGTTCATCTCATTGTTGATATTATGCGATTTAAATGACTGTTTACGATCATGTTGGAATTCGAACCTTGAATCAAAATAAAAACGGATATGGTTCATTCGAGCGGTTATATTTTTCAATTATTCAGTACAAATTCCACGGAGAAAAACGAGTATCACGATGATGGGCGAGAGTTTATCAAAAAATAACAACATCTTTTGTTTACTGAATCAGAATTTTTACATATATTTTTTTTGCTCTCATTTTCAATTCAAATCAGTTTACTGACTCTCTGTAACTGGAATGAATGTTAGGCTGTTTTTGTAAGAAGTATAATTTGTAATCGCCTGTTATTCATGGGGTATTTGAACAGGATGTTGATAAGAATAATGGCAAGTTTTTTAAAGAAGAACAAACAAACTATTGGAAGATAGCCCATTGTAACAGCCGATTTGTTCGAAATAATTCCAAAATTTGCGCACACGAGTATTCGACTTCAGAGTCAAGGTCAAGAAATGTTTTTCTAAATTAATGATAATCTATGATGGACGTGAATATTCATAAAAAAATGCGCTGATTACTTTCGCCATAATCGGCTTATAAATGAAATCATTTGTCTTGATTTGATGATGATTTTCTCAATTTGGCAAATTTAATACGATTTGAAATTTCAAGAATCATAAACGGCGCGTAATTAACGTCGGCATGATGAATTTGGTGGTTCTTAACTGCTTAACAACAAACCAAAGAATGGACGGTGCAATTTTTTTCTCTCTAGTGAAACAGTAGCCGAAAACCAATTAAATGAATGCAGAGCAAAGAGAAAAATCCGCTTTATAAACCGCACACTTTCAAACGAAATGGCATTTTTGCCATTTTCCTGCCGTCTACTTAAATTTTCATTTTCAACCGAAAAAAAACAGGAGAATAATCATCAACAAATGCCTCGATCTTTGTTTACCTGAAAATTAATAATTATTTGGCAGTTTTGTTGTGTATTGTGGTTATCAAACAAACAAAATCGGATAAACCCTTTTCACGGCGGTTCTCCACACACATTTATCTCTTTCGCTTCCTCTCTCTCGCTCTCTCATTCAGTTTCTCTTTTGAGCTTGTCATTGTGGCCGCTTATTTTAAACAAGCTGTAATTCTATGCATAAGTTATAGCATCCATGCTGAGCGCATTCGTACTCTCATGTATTTTGCAAGCGAGAATGCCAAATGTTCAATTAACACAAGAATGGAAGTGAATTTTTTGGTTGTTGATGTCCAGAGTGTGAGTTAAATTCGCAAAGCAAAGCGGAAGGGCTCGTGATTTTTCGTTTCTGTGGTTTTCTTGCAAATAAATCCAACTTGGGTGCCTCATCATTCTCTTTTTTTATCATCATTGACTTTTTTGGCTGTTTCGTGCAGCTGCATATAAAATGAAGCTATTTTCGACGAAAAAAAAAATACTTTTCGCCCGTAATATGTGACTATGTTCACAATGAAGGATAGAGAAAACCGCAAAAACCGTGTGCGGTCAAATAGTCTATGGACAGAATTGCTTTTTTGCTGAGGACATTTACGGTCGCGGATTTGAATAGAACCACCTGCCTAAAAAAACTCGATAGATAAATCAAAACATCGACACAAAATCAGAGATTTGAATTTTTGGTTATGTCATTGTTTGGCTATGCGTGGCAAAAACATTTCATTCACCATTTTTCCCTTCTTTCTCTCTGCACACCACAATGAACCGCTTTGTGATAGTTTACATGTTTGCATGCACGTTCAAGTACAAACCAAATTGTGGAACACCATTGTTGAAAATGTGCAAGGCATTCTTTTTCACTCTTTTTGCACAATTATCAAAATATGCAGTATTTTTCCAAAATATGCAAGTGAATCGACAAAATAACTTGCAGTTAGCAGCGGAATAAAAGAAGACGAATATATTGTCAACTGAAAAGAAAAATTGTGGATTTTTTTTTCTTTCGACAACAAATATTGCATGTCAATCGACACAACTTTGCAAACACTTGCTATTGTGTGAGATGTGCTTCAGAAATAAATCGTGTTCATGAATGCCCGAAAATCTCAAACAACAACTTTCCGAAATGTGCATGTGTGTGTGATTCAGGCAGTGTGAAAAGTTTTGCACAACTTTTTTTTAAACAAAACTATTTTCTCGTCGAGTTATTTGCAAATAACACGGCATATATATATATATTTTTGCTTTGTAAATAGTTACAAAATATTTTTGGGTGACACAGGAAATATCGTATGTGGAGGACGAAGTATTTGAAAGCTAAAACACAACACGATAACAAAGAGGAAGAAGAAGAAGAAGAGACATTAGTTTGATGGCATATGATGCAATGTGTTGGGAGAGACTCTGGATTTTCTTACTTGATATTGTTTCATTTCGCAGATCTTCAAATGACTTTTAATAAAAGAAACTGTCCCAGTCTCAGTTTTTTAAGAGACAACGAAAGCTAAAAACAAAGGCAAAAACACATTGTGCCCATTTTACAATTCTTTTAATAACCATCTTGTATTTGACTTCCCGTAGATCATTCTCAGCACGGTCAATGCATGCTGTTTCGAATTGAATGTGTGTTATGTCCAAATGGAATTGAAGTCGATTCACGATCTTTTCATAATATTGAAGGAGAATGACAGTAAAATGTTACTTGCAGTAAAATGGTGTGCGAGTGAGGATCGAGACATCGAAAGATGACACCATGAATAGTGTCGCTCTCTGTTTTTTTTTTATTGAAATGTAAAAGCAAAGACGATGAAATAGTCCATAAAAATTGTACGTGTCCACATCTCAGCTGCTAGACATCACAGTTTAAATGTGTATCGGAATTGAAAATTGTTAATATGACAAAAAGGGACACCAAAACAACAACAACGATAACAAAATATCAATTTAAATCGACCGATTGAAATACGAAACGGGTTCGATGCCGTCGGTCAATAATAAATAAGAGAAACATGCCTGGAATACCCCCGTTGGTATTTGCATAAGAAGCATCTCACAGTGTAAAAATTTGGAACGTGTCTACGTGTAAATTAATGTATATATTCATATGAAAAGGTTATAAAAATGGAAACGGTGACAACTTCCAACGAAATAAAATTGAAAATCCTATTCAGAAATCCCCTTTTTGCCATTTCATTCTGGAATTATAGCACAAACGCATTTTGATTAAATAAAAATATCGAAAGAAACATTTTATATTATTCAAATGCGAGACAAACATTTGATATCGCCTGATTTTTATATGGTTTGTGAATTTAACATCCAAATGCCCGCAAAACACAATGCCTTTCTCGTGTTTCATCACGAAAAATATTCGCTTGGATATTAAAATTTGAATGAGCGAAAGAGAAACCACTCCATTTCCGAAGAAAAACAATCTATGTGCTTTACGTGATCAATTACTTTTGGATTTTTTTGTTTCGCTTGTAAAGATATTAAAATTTCATTCTCACACCATAAACAAACATGCCTGATACCAACGGGGATATGAAGCGATGGGAATGTCCAACGGAACTTCCATTGTGGAATAAGAAAACAAAATGTCCCTGAAACAAGTAAACACTCAACGAATGTCACTTTTTTAAATTGAATCACATCACATAAGTAGGTGGGTGTTCGTCATTGTAACAATGATCATAAACACTGGGCGTGTTTTCAAACACAAATTTTCCGATTTGTATCATCTACATTAAATTACAGAAAAAACCGAAAAACATTCACCGAATTGTAATCGTCTCAAATTTTATAAAATGACAACATCATAAATTCAACATCAAAAAGAATTCCTTTTTTGTTTGAAATCATATCCAAGGTCTTCATTTTATGAATATTTTTTGTAACTTTATCAGTCGTTTTTTTATAGTAAAAAGATTGTCATTGTTGAAATTGTTGGTGCTGCATGTTTAGGCTGTTTTTTGCTGTCATTACATTGTTTTTTTCAGTCCCTTTGAATTCCTACAACATTTTTGTCAATCATGTTTCCGATTTAACCGAGAGATATGTTACTCTTGAGATGTTGCCAAATGCGGAAATTCCAAGTAAATATCTAAACCAAAATCTGCAAATCCATTCATTGAATTTTTCTTCAGTAAAGAAAGACAAGCATCTATCTCATGTCTTTTTCTTAGAATTAAAACAAAATAGTTGTTTCTGTCGGTATTCGTTTCTCCCAGTAAAAATTGAAATTTCAATCCGATGATGCAGTAAAACGTTCATTTTTTCGGGAGAATCGAGGATTTTATCGGTTTTTGGAGAGCAAAACGTGTATTCACTTTGATGACTGTCATCCGAAAAAAAGGGAATAAAAAATGGATGATTTTCCGCGCGAAAAGTATTTGTCGTTTGTTGATTTTGACTGCATCGCTCATGATAGAAAGACAGTATTTACACGATCTTTATGTGATTTCGCTTTGAATCGCAATGATTCTTGACTCCCTTTTGACAATCCCAAATTCGGTTTTTTCCTCTTCACAACCGATTTACTATTCGGATTGTGGAAAATTCTATCACTGATGCGGTTTGGAAACTTCAACTGAGAAAACGAATTGATTTCAACTCTTTTTCTTTGGCGGCCAAAATACATTTCCCTCATTTTTTTGCGCCGGATAAAAGAAATAAATCACACCCAACGAGCAGGCACCAAAAATAAATTTTCACAGCAGCAATTTAACGTCAATTTTGTATCCATGTTCTTGGACGTGTTTTTTTCTCGAAGATTGAAGGTTTTTTTTTTCTTATTTGTTTTTTT